TTCTCTTTGGCTATTATTTGGACTTTTTGGGAAAAAATCACAGAAACACATGAGTCTGAGTTGGAAGGGACCCAGAAGGACCATCAAGTCCAGGTCTTGAGTGAATGGCCCGTATGGGGATTGAATCCATGACCTGGGTGTTATTAGCACCAGGCTCTGACCAACTGACCTATCTATCATAGGCAAAAAAAAGATAGGAACATTAAATTACATCAATGTGAACACACATACTGCCAATGAAAAATGAAAAAGTGAATGAATTCCAAAATAAAATTTCATGTCAGAGTAGTCCTATAAACAGAGTTATTCTAAAAAAATAAAATCTGTCAGCAGCTACCTTTATTAAATAAGTTTATAGTAAATTTCTGGTATTAGATCACAGGAATATATCTATTTATATACAGATAGATTCAAAAAAAGGTATAAAATAGTGTCACACAACCAGTGCTGTGATAGATGTGAGGGAATTAGCAAAGTTTAGTCTGATATATCCATTATGTAGTGGAAAACTACTGCTGTCTCCACTTTTTCAGCTGGACATATTGGTTTCTTCTGCTTTATTCTTAATTCTTTCTATAAGTATTAGTCACATATGGATAAATTGCAATTTTTGATTCTGGCATGCTGCTGCTCTGTTCTAACTTTTACAATGTAATTTCAAGTTGCTATTAATATAAGGTATGTCCTTTATATTTTCATATATCTTTCTGCTGATTGAAAAAAAATTGATGTAGCGAAACTGCTAACAAGCTGAGCCTTTGAAACCATGGGCAGGTGATGAAAGCCACTTCATGTCTAAAGCATCCCCAGGTCACAGCTGTCACACTCACTACAATTCATTGTTGTCACAATCTGCTGTCCCTGCTTGTTGTTGCTCTCCTCTTATTCATCCAACTCATATATCTAAACATTCCATTACAAAAAGACATCTAATGTTCGTCTCATGTTCGAAAGGGCACAACACTCTTCTGAAATATAATTCTGAAGATTTTAGGGCTCAGAGTTCACTGCCAAATCTAAGGTGTTGCTTTGTAAGATTTCCCTTGTAATTTTGTCTTTGTCTCATCTCCTGAATGCAGCAGGATAAAATGTTTAGTTAGTACATGATCTCAGCTTTATTCCAACATCTTATCATGAAGAAATGAAATATTGCCCAGTAATAGAAAGGCATTTGAAGCTTTGTGAGTGTAAAGATAACAGCGTTAGCTGTGAAGTCAGTGAATTGGAAGGAAAGGTCAGCAAGTCATCTACTGTGGCACTGTTCACAAAGGCAATCCTTCTATCCAATGAACCTGGTTGTTCATAATCTGAAGACTTTGATTTTCTAAGACTTAATTTTGTTCTTTGTTACTTAATTAGATATGGTTACTATTGATTTACTTTTCAGAGTCGAAATTTCTCACAGGCCTTCTAACTTTCAGGCAGACTTTACACTGGCAAACATGCTGTACTCTAATTTCAAATCTATGCTGTTGTTTCAGGTTACAACTACAAACTCTGAGATGAATGATTCTAAAACTTTTCAATTTGTGGAAACATTGATACTAAGGAGAAAATACTTCAGTAAAATTAGGGTTAAAAAATGAGTCAAACCATAAAGAAAACAAAACCAAGATGTCTGAAAATAATAGCAATAAAAAACTGGAAACTATAATTCTAATAACAAACAGTTTCATGAAAGAGAGCAACTGCACTATTTATCCATTCCTGTAAAAATAAAGTAAAAGGAGGTTTGACCTTCTCACTTACATTTATTCTTGAAGATATTTATTTTGATTTTAGTATAAGTTATTATTCATAAGCATTACGCTGCCAGCACAAGGTTCAAGAAGTATGGTGATTACAGTTTCCTGCTCAACAACATAGTGAATATAATTCAGTGGACACTAAAATCACAGCCTCTGACTATGCCTAGAGAAGAACAGGTAAATTGCCAGTGACATTATGTCCATCCTCATGGGAAGAAAATCACCTAATAATGACCTCATGCTTTTAAGTTTGTGGGGTTTATGTTTCAATCCTGTTCAGCATTAAAAAACAGGAACATAATTACTTAGCTGTGCTACCTCTATCCACATGACCGTATTCCTCTGCAATAGATAATAACAGAGGATATAAATTGACATATGTTGTACCAAAATGGGTCTGAAGGAATGAGTAGGAAACAGTAAGTTCCTTAGCCCTTATAGCACTGTTGAAATAACTATGTGCAGCAAGATCTTACATTTAGAAGTGAGTTCTGAGTGGCAGATTAAAACTTGTGTTTATGGATCCACCTGTAGTAGAAATTAATTGTGAGCTATAGCTTACAGGCCTTGACTGAAGAAGTCACGACAGCACTTAGGTAATGTCATGCTCTACATAAAGGACCCAAAATCCTTAATTTACTAGTGCAAACTCTTAAGAAATCTGTATTTCATCCTCGTATGTGCACACTTCTCTAAAGAGAATTTAGGTTAATTTGGTCATTTAAAAACATTTCATTGAAATCCACATATTTTTATATTACAGTTATGTGCAAACCAGATGGGAACATGAAACCTGGTTTGTGAAATAACTTGCACAGGATGTTATGCCAGGAGTTATGCAAAAGTTGGCAGCTACAATGAATATTTAATTAGTATGGATATGAGAGCTGAATTTTCAAAAATGACATTGATACATACTGTAGATTATTAATACAAACAAATGCTCAAAAAAGCAAACTTTTGGAAAGAAATTATGATTTTCTAGTTATAATGTGCTGATAGAATGTTTCAGAGAGCCTAAATTGCTAGGTACTTTCAAGGTCTTCACCTAGCTTATAAGGGATCTATCTCTGCTAAAGGAAACATATGAGTCCATATTACAAAAATGGACTTGTTAAGAAGTAAACAAGCCCTAGGATAAGGAAAATTTTCTGGTATGGGACTGGCCACAGTTACAATAATATACACAGTTACATGATGACAGTATGTCCCTTTCAGAGTCCAATAGTTTTAAACCTAACAGACAGGTTTAGATCAAAGTACTTCTCAGTTAAGGGCATCCCGGGTGCAGCAATGTTCTCAATAATGGGGTTAGATCTGTCAACAGAGCAGGACCTGCTTTCCACAAAAGGAAACCATTTTTACATGGCCTATGAGATATGCTGTACTCCAATGTACCTGACTGTGGTCACTGGAGACAAAGATAGTGCTCACACTGCAGTATGCTCCCATAGACATATTTAAATGTAGGCCATGGTAACTTAAGCAGTTTTAATAGCTACAACTAATGTGTAAATCAGCTTTACAAGCTAGAAGTCAGCTTGTTAAAGTTTAGAAACAGAAGGTTAGCAATGCTCATGAAGGTGAAATTTTATGCTCTTACATATGAAATAAAATAGTTCATAGAAAATCAAAGTAGGGAAAACAGCAGGAAAATAGTGAAAGCAAAGTTTTGTTGGCACAGTAATTCATATGACAGGTGTCATTTAGCCTGTGCTCCATCTCAATCTTCATTTTTTAGATACCCCAGTAGGACCAGTGGCCAACGTTCCAATTAAGAAAACAAATTTAGAATGAAATAAAGCACCATATGTGTTCCAGAGAACATCAGTATCATGTAACTCTTACTAAATACCAATCAAGTAAAAATAGGAAAATAGAGTTGCAAAAATCACCATGTAATCAGTTAGTCAGCAGCAGAGTGCTTATATCCCCAACACAGGGCAAGATGGAAACCAGGGCAGGATTTAGTCTTGCTGGCATACCACCTAAAAAAGCAATTCTTCTCAAAACAGTATCTTAACTCCTCATGTCAACAAAGGTGAGAAAGGGATGTCACTGAAGGCCCCCAAAGGAGACCCTAGATTTGCAGGTATATGTGACTAAATTAAGACACCAGATCATATTTTTGTAGGTCAACAAAAATGTAAATTTGTTTACTTTTAACTGAACAGCTCTTTGCAGTTCTGTGCTTGTTAGGCTAAAGAAGAAAGGTGCACCAGTATGTTGAATCTCTTAATAAAGTCAGACCTCTTCACTCTATTTAAATCATCATGTACTTCAAAACTTTTGTTACTCCTGATTTGACCTCCTGAAGGTCCAGGAGGTTCTAAGTTTACTTAATTTTTGTCAAAGGAATTGCATGAATGGACTGATTTCCAACATAGCCTTGAAAAACTACAAAAACTTGCTTTTTTGTGTCTAAGATACATTGGATAAAAGAACAAAAGTTTGTGTACTTTCTCATTTGTTAGAACTAAAGAAGGATAAGAGGAAAATGTAGATATCTGAATAAAGATCAAGCCATAATTACCTAATGGTAACAGGGAAGTGTCTTTTTAAATGAAATGCTTTAAAATGAAAACAGATCACCTTCAGTAAAAGGAAGAAAAAACTCCATGCCTCTGGTAAATGCCTCTACAACCAGATTAATTTAATTAAAGGCCACAATCAAAACCTAAAACAGGCAGACAAGATCAGGTATCAGGTATTTTTGAGATATCCCTATAATACTACAGTCCTGGCCTGCAGATTACTGGGACTATTCTGTGCTACTTCATTCTAATTTATTCTGGGATTTGGTAAATTTAGTTTCTGCATAGGTAAAGTATCAAACCTTTCAGCCATCTTCAAATAACTTAGAGCAGTTCAGTTCAAATGGTTAAAGTCGGAAGAACAATCTCTTCTAATTTAAGAGTAATTTTTTCCATGATATCTCAAGAAACATTAGATTACAGACTACGAAATATGAGAAAAAGACAAAGCTGTATATGAAAATGCTTCAATTTGAGCATTGCTTTAATACTGATTTTGAGAGATGGAGGGAAACTGAGATGCTAACAGTGGCCACTGGCAGCCTGTTGTGCTCTCAGAGTCACCACACTTAGTTTTCTTGTATTTACTGACTTTATGACTTATCTGAGAACATTACCTATACAATACACCTTTGCAATATTTATGGTGGTTGGGAGCAGGCTACAATTTGGTGCCTTTTGGTTTGGTTGGGTTGAGTTTGGTCTGTTCTATAGTTACCTTAATAACAGATGTCTCCACTCTGGAGGGAGGGCTCTGCACTTGTGCTGCTGCTGCCATGTTGGCGATGGTGCTGAGGTGGTTCATCTGGCTCATTGCCATCGTGACAGAGGCTGGAGGTAGGCTCACGGGAATCAGCGGGTGGGGCATCATCATAAAAGGAAGTTCCAACCCTGTTGGGGGGAAAAACAGGGAAATAGGTTTATGCATCTTTTCTTAAGCACCGTCTTCTTTTTCTCCTGATGGACAATACTCAGGTGACAGGTGGTTCACATTGCAGGAAAAAGCAGCTCTACGTCAGTTCTCTTCTGGGAGATGCAGGGGTGAATCTCTAGCAACCATGGAGGGTTTCTAGCCACAAGGAGAGGCTATTAGACCTCTTAGTTTGTTTATATCTGTGTAATGCATTATATCATTGCCAAGCCATGGCCATTTATAACAGTTTTTGATATCTGCTGTAAGGTGCCTTAGCAATACTTCATTACGCCACTGATGCACAGGTTAGCAGTTATTTTCAGTATCAATTTTATTGCATATGTATTTGTTCTTTACTGTCTCCACTTCCCCTGCTTAATACTTTTAAGGAAGTATTCCAGTATTCTGCACATCCTTGATTTTTTCATTGCCTATTTATATAAACACCAAAAAAAAAGACAGAGGAACTAGAAAACTGCTGATGTTAGTGCTGAAAGATGTCAACCCGTACCATTTGGCAGAAGGTGGTTCTGTTGAAGAGGGTTGAGAGGATGGCTAACTGGAACATTATGCTGTCCAGGCAAGCTGGGGTGGTTAACAGAGGCCTGTGATCCTTGGGTGGGGGGAGACTGAAGTTTTTCTTTATCCCAAGAACCATCACTGCTGCCTGTGGGGAATGAATATATATTATTTGGATGAATGAAGACTCCAAATTTTCAATTTCTGAATTTGGAAGCAAGGCCAGAATTCTAACCTTTTTTGCAAGTGGAAATTTGTTTTTAATTTTCTTTTTTAATATGTGGGTTGGGGGAAGGACTTTAGGGTAGGGGTTTTTTTCCACCCTCTGAAAGGAATGTAAGAATAACTTTTTTAAATTAAGAGTTAGCACAAACTTAAAGTATTTAGAGTCGTGCTCATTCACATGAAGTCTGTGTATTGTACATACACTTTTCTCATACTTAGAAAATAAAACTATATATGGCACTTTTTAATATGTGAGAGAATATTTTTGCTTTCAAAATGTGTAACAAAAATATGTCATTATACCAGTTAAAATTTAAACTACAGTTATATTGTGTTCTGTATTTGTGAATAAATAAACATTCTTTGAAGGAATTAAAAAATTAATTTATTGAGGGCACCAACATGAATACATATATGCTTGGCTGATGATTCTATTTTGTATATTAAATTTTTGTTTCTTATTATTAATATAAATGTGAGGGATTACACTTATTCTTGCAGTCTTCTGGTAGTGGAACAGACTAAGAGCAAAGAAGAATGGGGACAAACAAGTATTGAGATGAGAAAGAATTAATTTCTCTGAGAAACACCCTTTTTCACTATTGCAGACTTCCTCATAAAAATAACAATAAAATTAAATAAGATACAATTAAAGGACAATACGATACAGTCTGTATAAAGGACAATAATAATTAACATCTCATTATTAATTTGTATATTTATGTGCAATGAAAAGGTTAACATCTTCCAACCTGACAAACTGTATTATTCTTGGTGTGTACTTACATATAGTGCTGAGACTGAGTGTATGTATGTTTATGCATACACAGTAATCTATACACTTACTGTATGAGTTTATTTACCATACACAATCAATAAACAATGTTTGCATATATTAATAAATATGGAATATATGCATGCACTCTCAGCAGTATTAATATACCCATCAGCAATACATGATTGCTTACTTTTTCATGTAGAGCACAATTTCAACCTCCTGACTTTGAAAATGCCTACTATTTTCATGGGAGCATGTCTTCATAGGGACTTCAGGATGATAGAAGTCAAGATGTATTCAATTTATGCTCCGTTTCTATTTACCATTATAGATTATAGCAAAGTACATATTTCTGAATGTTTTTCTACATACATCCTACTACTAATGAACAACAGCCTGAAAAACAACAGGAACGACACCACCTCCTTCTTACTTCAGTAGAAAGGGGACAAGTCTATTAGTCTTGACATATTTTAACATCGTTTTCATTGGATGACAAAAGCACAGAAGTTGGTAGAATTCCAATTTAATTTCTCTAGATCTATTAAAAACCTGATTGTAAAAGCTGTACAACATAGTTTATAATGAAAAATACTCCATTATTGCCATGATTTTCTTTCCCTAGTTACTTCAGGAAGACAGTTAAGGCTCAATATAAATTCTAACTCATTAGCTCAATACTGTCTCAATCCCAGTGTAAATTGTTCAGAAGTAGGTAATGAAAATTCAGTCCAAAGTCTCCTGCAATCAAACAAAGCAATTTTATGAAACAATGAAAAGAATCAATTATATTAGATACTTTTATTGCTTTACAAGAAATTTTCACAACCTTTATGCAGTGAACATACTTGAGATGATAAACGCATTATTCAAATCTCATGACCTCTGACAAGTGAACATGTTTTCTTATATTTTGAGAACTAAGACACTCTCAAAAAGCCTTAACACACATTTAAATATGTAGTGAAGAGCTAAATCTTATCTGGAAAAAGAATTTTTTTCCTTTTAATTTCATATTCTCTAATTTTCTGCTTTTCACCACTGTGATCTATATATTTCACTCCCTAACATCCAGGCCTACCCCACCCTCCTGTTTTGCTTATCCCTTCTGAAGAGTTTATAGCAATCCATTGCAGCACTCCAGTTGTGGAAGTCGTCCCACCATGTCTTCATGCTGGCAACTCTGCCACAGTTTTCCTGCTGCACAAAGGCTTCCAGCTCCTCCTGTTTGGTGGCTGTGCTGTCTGCATTGCTCTAGATGCATTTCAGCTGGCCTATTGATCCCACCACCTTTTTGGGGGAGACGAGTAATTCTTACATGACTGTTCTTAGGTACTTCTGCAATTTCTAACACATCAATAACCCACTTCGCAGTATTTGCCACCACATGGCTCTCCATCCTCTACCTCCAGTGAGATGGCAGAGTAAAGGACCTTGCTAGAACACTGTCCTTCAAACACTGTTGTGCCTTGTCCAGATATCTCTAATGAGCTTGATTTTATCCCTGTTTCCCTTTAAATCTAGGTTAAAGCTCTTTCAATGAGCCCTACTAACTTCTGTTTCCCCTTTGAGCCAGGTGTAGCATCTCTTATATGTATATGAATACAAACAATACATAAATATATATTAGTAATTATATGAATATCTGTTAGCTTCATAAGGAAGGTGTTTGCATTTTATACAGCTGCTGAATTGCCAGTAATGAGATATTTTCCCTATTTTTATCAGCAAGATCTTCTACAGTGCAGTTAATTTTATGTTACATGCTGATGTTCGATATGGAGATGGAGTCAATTCTTCTGTGACCCTTCCTAACCTGGTCACAGAATTTTGCAAGGTCAGTTATAGTTTGCCAATTATGGCTCTGCTTATGTGGCTTAGAAATTAGAGCTTTTCTAAATCAGTACTCTTTTCTGCCTCAAAATTACAGTGTCTGCTGTTTTAGTGTGATATTGAACCCAATAATAATTTGGAAGAGAGAAGACAAGTTTCAGAAAGCCAAAGTGTCAAGGCTAGCATTTAGTGACAGTGTCCTTAAAACTTGCAGTCTGGAATCATCTGTTAAGATCTGCTTATATGGAAAATGGTTTATAGACAGAATCCAATCCATAACATTAGAAACCCCTTTAAAACTTCCGACTGTTGAGCTCCTGAACACTTCAAGTGAACAGACAAAGATACAAAAAGTCTTGGCCATTCACTGCATTTTTCTTATGTTAGTTAAACAGAACACTTTTCCTCTTAGAGGAAACAGTTATTTTCATTAATGTCAAAGCAAAACAAGTGCTATTCTTTAGACACTATTCACTGTCTGCACAACAATGTGCAACCTAACAGTTCTGTCACTTTTTAAATTTGGTTTTGATTTAATACATACAGTGGTTTCAAAGAGTATTAAAAATCTGTTGCCTTCTTCCTCTTCACTTGTTGCCCTGCTGGAGGCTTATGTTTTTCCAGTTTCCATCAGTGGTTGTCAAGTCTTTGTAATAGGATTAAAAGCTTGGACACCTGATATCCCTGGGTGCTGCAGTTCACCCTCATAAAAGCTGTTTGCTTTAAATTGAGAGAAAATCAGTTTTTAGTGGCATAATTAATTAAATTATGCAAAGTGTTCCAGATTCAGCATAACACTTTCTGAAGCAGCAATTGGAAGCTCTACATTGCATTCGAACAGCATTTCAATTGACGCTGCACTAGGCTGACCATAGAGTACCATTTCAAGGCTTTCAAGCACAAGGGATCCAATTTTGAAATGCAAATGCTAAATGCTGAGTGCTCAAACCCCATACATATGTACTTGAATAGGCAATTTGGTAGCCAACTACATATATCATATGTGATAGTGCTAATAAAGGCACTCAAAAAATTGAAATGAAGTTCCAAATGTAAGTACATATGCTTAAAACCCTGGCTCAGGTGATCTCACATTTTCTCATGATGGACAACTCGATGGAACAAGAATGACAATACTTTTTCACAATTTAAAAGGCATAGTACAGAATCCATTGCTTTCCTCATCACCAATATTTCAGCACATATTTTCCATAATGTGAGTTACCTTCTCCCATAATCAGCAGTTACACAACAAACCATTATTTGTACACTGAAGTGGGTCTGTAAAAGCCTGATGCCTGGATTATTTGTATTCATTAGTAGCACAATTAGGTAGCTAAGGATGGTAATAATAAATTGAAACAATTCTGGACTAGAAGGTAATGCAGCCAAGAAAAAGAAAATGAAGCAGAAAACTAGAGTACAATGTCAGCCTCACAAACAAACGCTGATCTAAACGTACCAGGTTCATTTTTATAATCATTCCTCTTATTTGCAGACTCCTTTTATTTTTTCATTCTGACCCCATTAGGATTCAGTTTGCTTAAATTTCTGTTTCCACAATGTGAGCTGAACAGTTTGGTTCCTGCGATAGTCAACAGGGATTCAGTCAAAAGGGTCTGGAGAGCTGCTGAGCTCACTCTGTGGGAGACAGGGCTATCTTTGCTCAGCTGAATCTGCATCTGGTGCTTCCGAAGTCTACAGTGACCCTTTTCCCAGACTCAGTTCAATGGCCTGAACACACAACTCCTGAGATGGCCAAAAGAATTTGAATCATGTCTTGTAGGGTTGGTGAGTACCACGCAGCACCTGCAGGAGACTCCAAGGCTGTCTGGAGGTGTAGATCAGGCAGGATGCTCGAGGGTATCTAAGGCAGTAGCATATATCTATGCCTAGGCAACCAAGCCAAACTTTTTTGATTATAGGTGGTTTTTAGAAATTAAAATTAGGCTATCTACCAGGCCCTTGGGTCTTCCCCTTCCTTTCATGTGGAAAACTTGATATTTTATGGAATTACAGAGAACAATTCAAGCATGTCTTTAGGCAAGTGAACCCCAGCACTGGCTCAGGAATAGCTTCAGGTACCATTATATACACAAGCAGTATCACATAGCAAAAGCACAAAGGAGTCTGACTTCCCACTAACAACTCAAACCAGCTTTTTTTTTTTTTTTTTGGTATGCTACTGATCTCCTTTTAGTCTCATAATCTTTCTGTTATCTTCTGTGTTTGCTGAAACAATTTGTATCTCAGCAACAATTACCAAACAAAGCATCAGTATCAGCTGTGTTGGCTCATTTTTCTGAAGTGGA